TCTTAGTGCAGGTCTCATTATGGCTACTAAGCAGCTCCTGAGTACTGTCATAGGCAGAGGTTTCGCGGGCTATACCAGCAGTAGAAGTGAACGCAGATGAGAAAAGAGCAGCAGTTGAATTGTTAAATATGCGACAGCTCCTGGCTGGGGCCGGAGATTTTGGCGCATGAGAAAGAGATATTTCAAAAAAGATGTGTTTATGATCAGAAACAGTAGCATCACCAATCTCAGGATTTAACACAGATAGACCATGGGACAGAACCAGATCCAGTGTGTGACCCTGTTGATGAGTTGGACCAACAACATTTTGTACCAGGTTGAAAGAGTGAATTAGATTTAGAAAGTCATGAACCAACGGCTTGTCAGGGCAACAAACGTGTAAATTAAAATCACCTAAAATCAAAACTCTGTCATATTTCAAAAATATTCCAGTCAGGAAATCTGAGAGTTCACTGATGAAGCCTCTGGTGGTTTTAGGTGATCTGTAGATCACCGCACACAGCAAGGGGTTAGAGCGGCCCAGTTCGAAATGCAGCAACTCAAAAGTCTGAAAAGCTGCTGCCTGTAAGAGTCTACAGTTCCAGAGTTTCTTAAAAACAGTCAACACRCCTCCTCCTCTTCCAGACAGCCTGGGAGTGTTAAAAAATGTACAATCCACCGGTAAAAGTTCGGAGAAAACAGACAGCTCACCAGGAGAAAGCCAAGTTTCCGTGAGGAACATGAAGTCCAGAACATGAAATCATGTTATAATGTCATCTCCTCATCAAAAACGTACCCAGAATACCGCTTTAACTCATTCATCACAAATCCTTGAATCTCCTGTGGCCATGTGGACCTGCCTAAACGCTTATTGGTACAAAGCACCGCCTATTAACCCAAAGCTCCTCCCTAGAGCTCAGTCTGCAGCCGAGCTCCCGACCCACCCCTCCCCTGCGCCTCCCCCACACGGCTCCACTACTAACTGCAGCAAACAAGTAGCAAACACCTGGTGGAGCTGCACGTCTGTTGAGCTTGTAACACTAACTACAAAACATAGCTTCATATTAATTAAATTTATAGTTTTTTTTTACAAAAAGTAGCCTAACATTGACGTATATGTATGAGAGGAGGACTGGGAGGTATATTACCAAGCTTAAACGTCTTGTAAGTCTCTGTACTCGCTCCAGTGCTTCAGAAAATGTGCTTTCTGGGTCTGACCTGGGGTCATTCAACTGTATCCTGAGTTGCCATTTTCCAAAACCAGTATGTTGCTTTTAAAAAATATGCAACACTCCTACGAAAGGTTGTAAATGGCATGAAGCATTGTTGTGAAGTGGGAGTGTCAGAAACGGAAGGAGTTTCGTAAAGAGACAGAGACCAATTTCAAGGTGTTTGGATAAGCTAACATGCAAAGGCAACTTATTTTTGCTATATACAGCATTTTAATAACAACTGAAAGTAACATAATTACTAGATTGTTGTATAGAATTGAAATATGTACCTGGAAAATACATAATACTCACCTTCATAAGGAACCATTAAATACATTTTGTTGTGTACTTGGTGTCTCTAGAAGTGCAGAAAAGTTTAATTTAGTCTCTCCATGTGCTGCATAAATATCTTTATATTATGTTTGGATCATATTTTTCAACTCATTCAGTTTTCTCTTTTTTTCTGTGACATTTTCTAAACTTACGTCACAGTTTTTGTGATGGAACTTCACTTTTAAAGGGTTCAATATGTAAGGCTGCATGGACAAGACTTCTCTTGTTGACATCTTTAACTTAATTTGTAAATAACACATTTCTGTGCAGCTATATAGTCATAAACCCCTCCATCAAAATGGAATGAACTGCTCTGAAAGCTGAAAGAGGGCGGGCTGTGAAGCACCTCATTTGTATTTAAAGGGACACCCTCAAAATGAGCTGATCTGAGACACAAGAAAATGGGTGAAAGAGAGGCTTGTGTACAATAAAGACCAGGGGTTCTTAATCTTTTTGACCTTGGGGCCCAGTTTATTGAACAGAAAGTGGCACGAGGCCCAGTCAGACATTACCAATGTACGGATCAAAATGATAATTATTCTAAATCTTGGTTTAATTTTTATTGTATTTACATTATAACTAAATTAAATACACTTACATTTTAAAAGTAAAACTCCTGTCAAATAACCACAAGACGTGATTATGACAATTTTTTTATAATGTAACCTGCCCATAACAATTATTTGAACAAACAGTCAGTCAACAGACCACTCAGGCTTATCATACATATAT